CAGCCAGCAGTAGTACCTGGTGTAGGTGACAGGTCAGCTGGTAGTGAGGGGGTCAGTTTTCTGCCTCCCTCCCTAGAGGTAAGTTTCACGAAAAGCAACAGGACTGAACCCGCAGTACAGAGACCCCAGGTAACTCGCTGCATGGTACAGGGAAAGAAAAAAGTTCATGAAGCAGCAACATGGGTCCTTAAGGTCATGGCCAGATCTAGGGGGGTGCTGGGGTGGGCTGTGCCCCACCAGATTTTAATTATGCCCCCCCCCAGGTCTCTGTGAATGCATTTACTGATCCGTGAGTCAGTCTGATGCAGATACTTGATGTAAGGGGGCACTCTGATGGGGATAATCCATGTAAGGGCACTGTGACTGCGACATCAGTTGTAAGGGGGACTGTGGTTCAGACACATGATGTAAGGGGGCACTCTGATTGGGATAGCTGAACATATGTAAGGGGGCACTCTGATGGGTACAGTTTTGATGTAAGAGGGGACACTAATGTAAGGGGGTACTTTGATTCAGACACAAGATGTAAGGGGACACTCTGATTGGAATAACTAAGTATGTGTAAGGAGGAACTCTGATGGGGAAAGTTGATGTAAAGGGGGGCACTGATGTAAGGGGGCACTCTGATGGGGACACTTGATTTAAGGGGGTACTCTGATGGTGACATCTGATGTAAGGGGGCACTCTGATGGGGACCCTGATGTAAGGGGGCACTCTGATGGGGACCCTGATGTAAAAGGAGAACTTTGATGAGTACTCATGATGTAAATGGGGACTGTGATAGGGACATTTGATATAAGAGGGCACTCTGATGGGGACCCTAATGTAAGGTGGCACTCTTATTCAGACACATGATGTAAGGAGGCACTCTGATTGGGATAACTGAACATATGTAAGGGGGCACTCTGATGGGGACAGTTGATGTAAGAGGGGACACTAATGTAAGGGGGTACTCTGATTCAGACACATGATGTAAGGGGCCCTTTGATTGGGATAAATAAGTATATGTAAGGAGGCACTCTGATGGGGAAAGTTGATGTAAGGGGGGACACTGATGTAAGGGGACACTCTGATGGGGACACCTGATATAATGGGGTACTCTGATGGTGACATCTGATGTAAGGGGGCACTCTGATTGGGACCCTGATGTAAGGGGGCACTCTGATGGGGACCCTGATGTAAGGAGGCACTCTGATGGGGACCCTGATATAAGGGGGCACTCTGATGGGGACCCTGAAATAAGGGGGCACTCTGATGGGAACCCTGATGTAAAAGGAGAACTTTGATGAGTATTAATGATGTAAATGAGGACTGTGATAGGGACATTTGATATAAGAGGGCACTCTGATGGGAACCCTATTGTAAGGTGGCACTCTGATTCGGACACATGATGTAAGGGGGCACTCTGATTGGGATAACTGAACATATGTAACGGGGCACTCTGATGGGGACAGTTGATGTAAGAGGGGACACTAATGTAAGGTGGCACTCTGATTCAGGCACATGATGTAAGGGGGTACTCTAATTCAGACACATGATGTAAGGGGCCCTTTGATTGGGATAACTAAGTATATGTAAGGAGGCACTCTGATGGGGAAAGTTGATGTAAGGGGGGACACTGATGTAAGGGGACACTCTGATGGGGACACCTGATTTAAGGGGGCACTCTGATGGGGACCCTGATGTAAAAGGAGAACTTTGATGAGTACTCATGATGTAAATGGGGGCTGTGATAGCGACATTTGATATAAGGGGGTACTCTGATGGTGACATCTGATGTAAGGGGGCACTCTGATGGGGACCCTGATGTAAGGGGGCACTCTGATGGGGACCCTGATGTAAGGGGGCACTCTGATGGGGACCCTGATGTAAAAGGAGAACTTTGATGAGTACTCATGATGTAAATGGGGGCTGTGATAGGGACATTTGATATAAGAGGGCACAGGCTCTGTTTATCCACCTAAATCTAATGATATCAAAATACATACTAGTGTTTCCCAGGTCATGACACTGTGTGACAGACTGTCAGTGATTCGCGCACAGTGTTGTCATTATGCCCCCTGACTTTTTATACTGCACCCCCAGATCAGATAAGCTAGATCCAGCCCTGCTTAAGGTGGACCTTCACCCAGAAAAACTAATTTTGCTCCAACCCTCTCCCTCACACTTTTTCTTTATTTCTTGCTTTAAAATGATATTGCACCCCATCCACGAGTTCACAGATGTGCTGTCCTTCAGTACCCAGCAGAGACCTTCAGGGTGTGTTCAAATAATGCCGGCACATCGGTATATAAGAGCAAAGCGGTTGTTCTTTATTATAGACAGTGAAATACAGCCAAGAGCATTTCCAATGCGTTTCGGGCCTTTCAGGCCTTACCCCTGGTTAACATCTGTGTGGGTGGTGCGGCTGCGGATCCGCACAACAATCTGTGCAGCCTCACCAACTGCACAGCGGAATGCGGACCCGCGGGCTGGTGCCATTAGTTCTAATGGCAGGCCTCCCACACTGGAAATCACAACCGTACTGGGAACCGAGGTTCCTGTGCGGGCTGCGTTTTCTGAAGATGTGCAGGGACTTCTTTCCTGTGTGTCCCGGGGCATGGGAGTCCATTCAAATGAATGGGCTCTCGTGCTCACACAAAACTCAGCCTGCAGGAACACGGAGATGTTAACCTAGCCTTAATCATGGTAAATATATAGGCATACCACAACTTATAAAGTACTAAAATCACATGTGCAAAAAAGAAGGAGGAGTGACCATGGAAACATCCAATAAAGTATCCAGAAAAATTATTACACAAATCAAGTGCCTATTTAAAAATTGTAGAAAATCCATATATTACCAACTGCATACATGAGGTTATAGAAGAAAGAAAATGAATACATTTATAAAAACACTACTTACACTATATTGCCAAAAGTATTGGGCCAGCCTCCACATCATTGAATTCAGGTGTTCCAATGACATCCATGGCCACAGGCGTATAAAATCAAGCCCCTAGGTGTGATAATTGTGCGCACAGATATGGGACACGGACAACCATTTTGCTAAGATCCACCATCTTGTATCAGACTCTGCAAATATCATTCTCTCTCCCTCCAGCCCCCTCCCCTTGCAAGGAACGTGGTCTGTGTGTGTGCTGAGTTCAGGAGTGCACAGGGCACAGCTGGATAAGCTTTATGGTTGTAAACCCAATTAGCTGGTTTCATGATGTTTGAAAGACTCTTGCCTTGGCCTGGTCGTAAAGCTATAAATCAGTCAATCACATGACATGAAAAGCATTCCAGAATGGCAGTAAAACATATATCCCACTTGAAACCACTTTTTCATACAAATGCATAAATCCCGACAGGAACAAGGTACAAGCAAACAAAGCATATATTGAGATAGGTCAGTTTAATACGAGTCACCTGATACCTTACACCCCTATGTGGCACCTACACGAGAGAAGAAAGCAATATGTCTTTGTCAGGAATGGACTGGCCAGCTATGGTGGGACTCACCTGCCTTTTGATCTGCAGTACTAGGGCTGGCCAGCGGGTGTTCCCAGCAATCAGAGACTCAACTTTGCAGCCAGCTAACACCTGTAACTGATTATGCTGGGGTATTTAAGGGATGGCCAGACCCACAGACTCTGCCTTGGTGTGTGTTTGTCCTGGGCCCTGCATCCTGTTTCTGTCCTGCATCCTGTTTCTGAACCGCTGCTGACTTCTCCTGCTCTGATCCCGGCTCGCTCCTGACCACCCCTCTGTCTGACACTCTGTACCCACGCTGCTTGCTACCTGTTCTGATCCCTGGCTTGTGACCCTGACCAATCTCTGCTTGCTCCCCCTGTACCTACCTGCCCTATTGATATTGACCCGGCCTGCCTGACGACGCTTGCTTGTATGTACTGTTATCTGTGGGTGGTTTGGTTTGGTTTGTTTGCACTGTATTATGTTTTTTAGTATTGCACTGCGTTTATGTTTGTATTGTTAGTGTTAATAAATTATATTGTTTTATAACATATCTGAGGTCTGCGTTTCCCTGCGTCAGTCACACATCTCTGGTCACACCTGGGAGCCCTGACATTACACCAAGGCCAATCCTGACCAGAAGTGGCTGCACAGAGAAGCCATCTTGGCTTGTTGATGGGAAGGATGGATCTGGATGAGGTTGAGTATTTATCTCTGCTAGTGCTTGATGACAGAGAGTATGCTTATCAGACTCTGAAGGAGTATCCCCGGGATGAACTGCTAGAATGTATACGGCTCGCTCATGTTCTAGTAGATCAGGGGCACGGATTTCTCTATGGTGCAGCCATTGATTCAGGTTTGTGTTGAGTTGGTTTCATCTGGTTCCCCCGAATGCAGGGATGAATTTTTGCCACCATTTAGTGCAGACCAGGTAGAGTCCCTGGTGTGGTTATTAGAGGATGATGTGGGTTACTTTCTGGAGCGTTATTCCACATGTTCACCACAGACACTAAGAGATTGTATAAACGCAGTGCAGTCATTGACCAGACAGGCTTTGTGTAAGCTCAGCTTTTGTTCAACCCCTACTGCAGACATGGACAGACTTGTTGCACCCAGCCTCAGTCAGCTTACAAAAACCCAGTCCTGCTTCTAACTCTTCTCCTGTATTCCCACCAGCTCCTCCAGTTACAGCCCAGTATACTTGGCTATCTACCGCATGTCAGTACCCTGTTCCCACTCGCTGCACCTATCCTGCCTTTAACCCTGTAAAAAAGCCCTCTGTAGCAACTGCTCCCTCTCCTGTTCCATCCTCCAGTTTTTCTCTGTCTCCAGCTGCTCCATTCGTTTGCAGACCTGCGTTTACTTGCAGTGCTCCAGTAGTTAAAACCAGAAAAAAGCGAAAATTCTTTCCAACCAATACCATCCTGCCAGTATCCAAACCGGTGAACCTGCCTTCCGTGACTCAGCCTGAAGCCTCTACTCAGCCGGATGCCTCTCCTCAGCCGGATGCCTCTCCTCAGCCGGATGCCTCTCCTCAGCCGGATGCCTCTCCTCAGCCGGATGCCTCTCCTCAGCCTGAAGCCTCTCCTCAGCCTGAAGCCTCTCCTCAGCCTGAAGCCTCTCCTCAGCCTGAAGCCTCTCCTCAGCCTGAAGCCTCTCCTCAGCCTGATGCCTGCATTCAGCCTGATGTCGCTACTCAGCATGATGAACTGATCCAGCCCGACGATCCTATTAGGCCAGTTGACTTGATGCCCGCTGTTGATCCAGATGATCCGGTACCTGATCCAGTGCCCGCTGTCGTGCCAATTGACTCAGAGCCCGCTGTCATACCTGGTGACCCGGTGCCCACTGCCTTGCCAGATGACGCGGTGCCCGCTGGCAAGCCAAATGACCTGATGCCTGGTGACCCAGTGCCCGCTGTCATACCTGGTGAACCGATGCCCGCTGTCGAGCCAGACAATCCGATACCTGATGACCCGGTGCCCACTGTCGTGCCTGTTGACTCGGAGCCCACTGTCTTGCCAGACGACTCGGTGCCCGCTGTTCTGCCAGACGACTCGGTGCCCGCAGTCTTGCCAGACGACTTGGTGCCCGCAGTCTTGCCAGACGACTTGGTGCCCGCAGTCTTGCCAGACGACTCGGTGCCCGCAGTCTTGCCAGACGACTCGGTGCCCGCAGTCTTGCCAGACGACTCGATGCCCGCAGTCTTGCCAGACGACTCGATGCCCGCAGTCTTGCCAGACGACTCGGTGCCCGCAGTCTTGCCAGACGACTCGGTGCCCGCAGTCTTGCCAGACGACTCGATGCCCGCTGTTCCGCCAGTTGACTCGATGCCCGCTGTTCCGCCAGTTGACTCGATGCCCGCTGTTCCGCCAGGCGACTCGGTGCCTGCTGTTCCGCCAGTTGACTCGGTGCCTGCTGTTCCGCCAGTTGACTCGGTGCCCGCTGTTCCGCCAGTTGACTCGGTGCCCGCTGTTCCGCCAGTTGACTCGATGCCCGCTGTTCCGCCAGTTGACTCGGTGCCCGCTGTTCCGCCAGTTGACTCGATGCCCGCTGTTCCGCCAGTTAACTCGGTGCCCGCAGTCTTGCCAGGCGACTCGGTGCCTGCTGTTCCGCCAGTTGACTCGGTGCCCGCTGTTCCGCCAGTTGACTCGATGCCCGCTGTTCCGCCAGTTGACTCGATGCCCGCTGTTCCGCCAGTTGACTCGGTGCCTGCTGTTCCGCCAGTTGACTCGGTGCCTGCTGTTCCGTTCCGCCAGTTGACTCGGTGCCCGCTGTTCCGCCAGACGACTCGGTGCCCGCAGTCTTGCCAGACGACTCGGTGCCCGCAGTCTTGCCAGACGACTCGGTGCCCGCAGTCTTGCCAGACGACTCGGTGCCCACAGTCTTGCCAGACGACTCGGTGCCCGCAGTCTTGCCAGACGACTCGGTGCCCGCAGCCTTGCCAGACGACTCGGTGCCCGCAGTCCCGCCAGTGGACTCGGTGCCCGCTGTTCCGCCAGTTGACTCGGTGCCCGCAGTCTTGCCAGACGACTCGGTGCCCGCAGTCTTGCCAGACGACTCGGTGCCCGCAGTCTTGCCAGACGACTCGGTGCCCGCAGTCTTGCCAGACGACTCGGTGCCCGCTGTTCCGCCAGTTGACTCGATGCCCGCAGTCTTGCCAGACGACTCGGTGCCCACTGTCGTGCCTGGTGACTCGGTGCCCGCCGCTTCGTCTGGGGGTCCGATGCCTGTCGCTCCGCCTGAGGGCCCCGAGACCTGTAGTTCCGCCTGGGGGTCCGGCGCCCGCCGTTCCGCCTGGGGGTCCGAGGCCTGTCGCCCCGCCTGGGGGTCCGATGCCTGTCGCCCCGCCTGGGGGTCCGATGCCTGTCGCCCCGCCTGGGGGTCCGATGCCTGTCGCCCCGCCTGGGGGTCCGATGCCTGTCGCCCCGCCTGGGGGTCCGATGCCTGTCGCCCCGCCTGGGGGTCCGATGCCTGTCGCCCCGCCTGGGGGGCCGATGCCTGTCGCCCCGCCTGAGGGCCCGAGACCTGTAGTTCCGCCCTGGGGGTCCGGCGCCCGCCGCTCCGCCTGGGGGTCCGATGCCTGTCGCCCCGCCTGGGGGTCCGATGCCTGTCGCCCCGCCTGGGGGTCCGATGCCTGTCGCTCCGCCTGAGGGCCCGAGACCTGTAGTTCCGCCTGGGGGTCCGATGCCTGTCGCCCCGCCTGGGGGTCCGAGGCCTGTCGCCCCGCCTGGGGGTCCGAGGCCTGTCGCCCCGCCTGGGGGTCCGAGGCCTGTCGCCCCGCCTGGGGGTCCGAGGCCTGTCGCTCCGCCTGGGGGCCCGAGGCCTGTAGTTCCGCCTGGGGGTCCGGCGCCCGCCGCTCCGCCTGGGGGTCCGAGGCCCGTCGCCCCGCCTGGGGGTCCGAGGCCCGTCGCCCCGCCTGGGGGTCCGATGCCTGTCGCTCCGCCTGAGGGCCCGAGACCTGTAGTTCCGCCTGGGGGTCCGGCGCCCGCCGCTCCGCATGGGGGTCCGAGGCCTGTCGCCCCGCCCGGGGGCCCGGTGCCTGTCGCTCCGCCTGGTGGCCCGCTGCCTGCTGCTTCGCCTGGTAGCCCGATGTGCCTCTGCCCGGAGTCCGGCCCGATGTGCCTCTGCCCGATGTGCCTCTGCCCGGAGTCCGGCCCGATGTGCCTCTGCCCGATGTGCCTCTGCCCGGAGTCCGGCCCGATGTGCCTCTGCCCGGAGTCCAGCCCGGTGTGCCTCTGCCCGGTGTGCCTCTGCCCGGAGTCCTGCCCGGTGTGCCAGTCTTTGATATCCCGCCAGTTACCAGACCCGGGCGGTGGAACATTTTTCCCAGCTAGGACTGTTTGGAGCGTCCTGAGGCCGCTCCTTGAGGGGGGGGTACTGTCAGGAATGGACTGGCCAGCTATGGTGGGACTCGCCTGCCTTTTGATCTGCAGTACTAGGGCTGGCCAGCGGGTGTTCCCAGCAATCAGAGACTCAACTTTGCAGCCAGCTAACACCTGTAACTGATTATGCTGGGGTATTTAAGGGATGGCCAGACCCAAAGACTCTGCCTTGGTGTGTGTTTGTCCTGGGCCCTGTATCCTGTTTCTGTCCTGCATCCTGTTTCTGAACCGCTGCTGACTTCTCCTGCTCTGATCCCGGCTCGCTCCTGACCACCCCTCTGTCTGACCCTCTGTACCACGCTGCTTGCTACCTGTTCTGATCCCTGGCTTGTGACCCTGACCAATCTCTGCTTGCTCCCCCTGTACCTACCTGCCCTATTGATATTGACCCGGCCTGCCTGACGACGCTTGCTTGTATGTACTGTTATCTGTGGGTGGTTTGGTTTGGTTTGTTTGCACTGTATTATGTTTTAGTATTGCACTGCGTTTATGTTTGTATTGTTAGTGTTAATAAATTATATTGTTTATAACATATCTGAGGTCTGCGTTTCCCTGCGTCAGTCACACATCTCTGGTCATACCTGGGAGCCCTGACAGTCTTTATATCTGGAACGGTAAAATATGTCATATTTGATGTCTGGATGTTCAGGATATCATTCTGCATATTAATCTACCAGTGGCTAGGCTGCTACATGTACCTAGTGAAGGTTATTGGCCATGGTATAAACTTATGAGGGATTTGGTCATAGCCTGAGTCCCTGCCTAAACACCCCTCCCCAAATGAGGCGATTGGTTCTCTGCTTTAAGGAGACACCCTGCTGGGTTCCTAGAAAAAAGGCTGTCATGCCTGGAGAGAAAGATGAAGAGATTCTCCCTTTTAACATCAGGAACCAACCTTGGGAGAAAAGGTACCCTTTTGATCAGGACACTTGAACGCTGCTTAAACCCAGGACTTCTGCAAGTATCCTACCTTCTTAAACTTCTTTCTGTTATCTCTCTGTTGTGTTATTGCTCTCTCTATTTATATATATATATATATATATATATTAGTTACATCTTTTCTGTAAATATTTTTATTGCACCATTTTGACTTTTTTAGTAATAAATCCTATTTTCTGAAAAGTGTTGAACTGTTTCTAAAGCTCTTTAATGCAAACTAAGAATCCCTGTCTCTGAAGAGTGCTACTGTGAGTTTTAAAACCTCTGGATACATCTGTCTGCGGTGACATTGTGTATACAGATGCTTATTCAAACATGAGAGTGTTACTGCTAAGATTTGTGAGTTTTCTCCTTCTCTGTAAAAAGGTGGTGGTGGAAGTGTGAAGGGTTAATTGCGTAATTAACCTGACCCAGTAACAATCGCTCTCAGCTGCTGTTGGCACCTAGATTGGGATCCAGTGAGCTGGAAAATCTTGGTGCAGGGTGCAGCTGAGAGTGGCATTGTTACGCAAGTGGCAGCGTGGTTTTAGATTGGCTAGTCCCTCGGTCACAAGTTGGTGAGAATGGCTGGGGTCTGACACCACGCCCGTCACACTAGGCATGCAGACTACTTCTACAAACATTGGTGAAAGAATGGGTCGCTCTCAGAGCTCAGTGACTCCAAGCGTGGTCCCGTGATAGGTGGCCACCTGTGCAATAAGTCCATCCGTGACATTTCCTGGCCACTAAATATTCTACGCTCAACTGTTAGTGGGATTATAACAAAGTGAAAGCAACTGGGAACAACAGCAACTCAGCCACCAAGTGGTAGGCCACGTAAAATGACAGATCGGGGTCAGCGCATGCTGAATTGCACAGTGCGCAGATGTCGCCAACTGTCTGCAGAATCAATAGCTAAAGACCTCCAAACTTGGTGTGGCCTTCAGATTAGCACAACAACAGTGCGTAGAGAGCTTCATGGAATGGGGTTTCCATGGCTGAGCAGCTGCATCCAAGCCTTACATCACCAAGTGCAATGCAAAGCTTGTGGTGTAAAGCACGCCGCCACTGGACTCTAGAGAAGTGGAGACGTGTTCTCTGGAGTGACCAATCATTTTTCTCTGTCTGGCAAGCCGATGGACGTGTCTGGGTTTGGCAGTTTCCAGGAGAACGGTACATGCCTGACTGCATTGTACCAAGTGTAAAGTTTGGGGGAGGGGGGATTATGGTGTGATGTTGTTCTTCAGGGGTTGGGCTTGGCCCCCTAGTTCCAGTGAAGGGAACTCTTAAGGCATCAACATACCAAGACATTTTCGACAATTTCATGCTCCCAACTTTGTGGGAAGAGTTTGGCGATGGCCCCTTCATGTTCCAACATGACTGCAGACCAGTGCACAAAGCAAAGTCCATAAAGACATGGATGAGCGAGTTTGGGGTGGAGGAACTTGACTGGCCTGCACAGAGTCCTGACCTCAACCCCATAGAACACCTTTGGGATGAATTAGAGTGGAGACTGAGCCAGGCCTTCTCGTTCATCATCAGTGCCTGACCTCACAATGGTGTCAGTGGTAGGAATAGTGCCCCATCATTGGTATCAGTGGGAGGAATAGTGCCTCATCGTTGGTATCAGAGGGAGGAATAATGCCTCATCATTGGTATCAGTGGGAGGAATAGTGCCCTATCGTTGGTATCAGTGGGAGGAATAGTGCCCCATCATTGGTGTCAGTGGGAGGAATAGTGCCC